AAGCCTAATGTAACAGTCAGATTAAGTGCTTTCTTGCCTATGGGCTATTTTACTGGAAATCCTGGTAACGAAGACCTCAGAATAAGCATTTGTGTCAAAAAAACATGTTTTCAGTGCTTCCACCGTGGAAAGGGATGCAGTAAGAGTCTGTTTCTCTTCTATCATTGATTATTTATTGTAGTTCTCACTAGAGGACAGAAGACTAAGCCATTCTGTCTTGAAATGTCAAACCTTAACCTTTGTGCAAACTTTCTGAAGTTGAGCAAGCTGTGTGAAAATGGGCCACTGTGATTGAATAACGTTAATGTGGAAATAGTTAACTCCCACACAATGCTGTGTTTCACCATCTGCAACGTGGTTTGGGTCTGCAATGGTTTCACAGGTCTGTGATGCTTGTGCAGATTTTGTGGTGGTTCTCCTATTTGTAATTACTACTGTACCTAAAGAAATGTCTGCACACTGATAAGCAGTATATAATATTGATACATAGATTCAGATGCTAAAAATATAGTTACACTTTTGTGCTAAGCATTCAGCTATCCAGCCTGAACTTCATACCTTGTACCCATAATTGCTTTCAGAGCCAGGTTCTCACCCTGACACAGAGATTTTTCTTTTCTCCCAGATGGGTTCTCTTGCATTTGGTTGTATTAAAACACATTTTGTGACTGTGTGAATCAGATCACTCTGTAACACTGACCTACCCTCCTTATCACCCTCTGGCTCCACGTGCTCTAATGTTATCTGCCAATTCTACTGGCACAGATTTTTAACATGACAGCTTCTTCCCCACACCCTTTCTCTCACTGTGAGCTCATGTCCCTCCTGTGTCAAACCTCTGCTGACATCCTGCTTTTCTTCACTAAACCTCTGCTGAAGTTTCCACACGGCACCTGGTGCTGGCCCTTCCTTGCCCCTCTCTGAACAGGAGTTAATCCCAGGCAAGCTCAGTACCAGCTGTAGGTTTACTGTCACAGACACACTGCAGGTACCTCACCTGTTGTGCTGATAGAATTCATTGCATGAAAAACTGCCTCTACACAGATGGCCTGCATGAAAAACATATACCTCCAACAGCTGCCCAAAACCAACCCACCATGAGTCAAAAACTAGTATTTACAATCTTTGCTCATAGTCAGCCCCATTCACTACTGGATTCCACTCTGAGATTCAGTCATTCAAGCTGGTTTTCCATACATTTAATGTGCATCCTTGTTATTTTTGTTCTCCCTAATGGGTTAATTTTTTTGTAATAATGCCTGGTAGAAGAAACTCAGGATTTGTAATCTTACTAGTTTGTAATAACAGGTTCCCCCCATGCCAAATCCCCATGCATTTATTTCTTGCTTTGACATTCCTAATAACCAGAACTATTGGGTTGTACTAGTAGTTAACCATGTGGCTTAGGCTTCCTTGGACCCTAATAACCTCTTTTACCTTTTAATACTGCAAACATACTGAAGTTCACTGCTACTTTCAAACACACTTTGATTTTTCAAGACACTTAAAAAGTAACATTATTTGGTCTAGCCCATCCTGCTTTCTTTCTTGTATAGCCTAGAGCAGTCCATTTTCCCTAAGTGGCCACATTAGCTTTTCCCCAAGAGCCATTTACTGTTAGGTGGCCTCAATAAGCAGCTTTGAACTAGAAGATCTCAAGCTCTCAAACTTCTGAGGTGTAGCTCTGTCCCAGCCATCAGCTCCCCTTACACCTGTAGCCTTGTCTTCTTCAATGGGAGAATAGTTATAAATAGAGAAGATGGATGGAGTCACCCAGATTCCTCAAAGAGCTCAGCTCTTCCTCAGTTCACTTTTGAGGCCAGAGCAAACGGTCTGCTTTAGTCTCTTATTCCAAAGTGGTTGGCCTCAACATACTTAACCATGTTCAGAACTGAGTCTAAAGGTTGCAGTGGCTGTATCTACAGATATGACCCAAATCTGGTGGTGATTACTTATGAAAATCTGACCCAGTTCAGCTGTAACGTTTCTGTTTGGTGTGCAGCCAAGTTTACAGTATCAGCAACATCAATGCAAAGCAACTGATATGGAAAAATATGATCAATGGACTTTTATTTTTCTTCAGGTCTGTGTAGGGTTAGGCAAAAGAGTAAGGGAGGCATTACAACACGTGTTGCCAAAAAGCAAGCAAATGTATTTTGAATTTCAAATGCATGTTCCATCAGAAGGAGATGTTCCTTTGCAACATGGTGGGATGCCTGCCATCAGTTTTGGTACAAGATGTGTTAATGCCCTGGCCATCAGTGTGGGTACCAGGATCTCAGAGTGTATTTCTGGCTCTGCAGGTGACATAGTCTGTGTGCCTGGATGAGTCACTCCACTCCCCTTTCACTTTCTTTTTCTGTGAAAAGGGGTTTAGCATATTTGAAAAATGCTTTGAAATTGATGATCAAACTTCCAATTGATAATATTCTAAAGGAGACTGCTAATGGTAAAGAGCTCACCTCAATGCACGTAAACATTCCACAAGGAGACCATTAGCTCAAACAAAAAAAATCCGCAAATAAAAATAAGCATTATCCTGTGAAGTCACTGATCAGTTTGTTCCATCTTCAGTGGTGAATTTGTAATCCTGGTCAAAGTTCTGAAACTAAACAATTTCTTACAACAATTAATTAAAAGTAGGAATGCATCTTTTTTTAGTAAAAAAATTTTCCCAGAGGTTGCATTATGAAAGGTAATGGCCTTGATAGGTAACAGCCTATAGAGATACAGGGGCTGTTATATGGGGATTCTTATAGAGCAAGAAATTCTGAACAAGGCAGTTACTGCACCCCTTCATCACATAATGAAATTTAACCCATCTTAAAATGAAAAGTGACTTGAAACTTGATTTTCTTTTTTTTTCTTTCTTTCTTTCCTTCTTTGTATGTTTAGAAATGTCAAAATGAAACACACTGACAATTTGGACACTTTTTCAAGTTGAGAAATTAATCAAAACCAACCTTTTCCTACAGAGGTTTCATTTTCAACCAAGTATGCCGCTTCTGATTAAAGAAGTTGCATAAAAATTCTTAATCATCTCTGCACAGAAGTACTGCTGTAGCTGTTGGGTGATTCATGCCTGTTTTAGAGCCAGCTTTCATAATAATCTATAGGTGCTCTTGTAAGACTCTTTATATGAGTACTTTTGCCTGTCACAACTCATGTGGCCCATGGGGCCCTTCCAGCTGCAGGGCAGCGCCTGTGGACAGGGGCACCAAACCAAGGGCACACTTAGGAGGAGCAGGGGGGCAGAGGGGCCGTTTGCTGTCCTGTGCTGGGGAATGAGCCCTGCAATAGGCTCCCCACAGCGAGCCCCTGTGCCCTCGTGAGGTGGGAGGCGCTCGGCCGGACAGAGCCATCCCTTGCTGGGCGCAGGGAGCAGCAGGAGCGGTGGGAAGCCCAGGGGTCTCCTGCTGGGGAAGTTGGGTGGGATCTTTACAGCAACACATGCAGAGCAGGCAGGAGGATGAGTGCTAACTGCTGGAATTGGTGAAGTGGTACGGCAGAAAGGAATGGCCATGCACTGGGATGGGAAGAACAGGAAGGATTTGGAAGAAGAGGGGACAGAAACAGAGTAGAGATTTGAAACAGGGTGGGGTGCGTGTCCATAATTCTGGCTTTATACCCAGCTGTGAATTTTTAGTAGAAGTTTTTCAGAAGCAAAAAGTATAGAGTATTATTTATGGAGTATTATCTGTGGAGTTCTGAATTCAGTGTTTGTAAGAGCCTGTGGCTCTTAGAAATTGTACTTAGATGGTAAGAGCGGATACTCTTTGGCTAACCTGCAGGGAACTTCCTTCCTCCATTTGTAAAGGAAATAAGGATGTGAAGATATGTATCTATGCTCTTGTGCTTCCATTTCCCCCTCCCTCATGCTTCTTAGCACTGGTGACTTTATCAGCTTTGCTTCAGGCATCATCTATCTTGTATTCAAGGTTATCAGATAGAGATGAACTAGGGAAAAAAAAGAAATCCAACTTTTGACTCAAACCCTTAAGATATAAATGATGTAACCCAGAATACAGCATTACTCCTACACAGATCAGTCAAGTATCAGAACTGGAGGTCAGTATTTCAGCTTCGAATCAGCAGATTAGAAAAAAGAGACCTTTGAGTGAAGTCTAGACAACAGCACTACTTATAGTTAGATACTGACCAAGCCTTCAAGGCAGGGAGGTAAGTGTTTGTACCTACACTTTAACTTTTTTTTTTAATGCTGTGACAAATTTTGAACTGTAGGGAGGAGATAACATGCTGTAAAGTGTGAAGTGTGGCTCGACAGTTCAAGAAAACAGCGAGCAGGTCTTGAGTATTTGAGCGTGAAAATGATCCCTTCATTCTTTGCAGGACAGCATCATAAAACCTTTTAGATCAGTTATGGCATTACTGCCAAGGCAAATTATAGGTATTTGATGCCTTGGCACTACAGCATTGCAGACTTCATCTCGTCCCACATCGTGGGAGAAGGGACGGCTTGCAGAGGCACTGCAGCTGAAAGAGCTGTGGGTCCTGCTACAGCCTGGCCGCGGAGAGCCGGACAAACGGCTCCAGTGCGCTGTGCCCGGAGCGCCTCTGGGCCCTGCGGGACTGGGGCAGGAGGGAGCTCTCGTGTGCTCCAGAGAGCAGGGCTCTAGGGCAGGAGGGAGCTCCCGTGTGCTCCAGGCAGCAGGGCTCCGGGGCAGGAGGGAGCTCCCGTGTGCTCCAGAGAGCAGGGCCCTCGGGCAGGAGGGAGCTCCCGTGTGCTCCAGAGAGCAGGGCCCTCGGGCGGGAGGGAGCTCCCGTGTGCTCCAGAGAGCAGGGCTCTCGGGCGGGAGGGAGCTCTCGTGTGCTCCAGAGAGCAGGGCTCTCGGGCGGGAGGGAGCTCTCGTGTGCTCCAGAGAGCAGGGCTCTCGG